CTAAGTTGAGGGGCTGGAGAGATGGCTCAGCAATTGAGAACATTTGCTGCTCTTCCAGAGGACCTGAGTTCGATTCCTGGTACCCACAGCCATCTGTAACTCCAGGTCCAGAAAATCCAGTGCCTTCTTGTGGCCTCCATGGGCACCAGGTGTGCATGTGGTGTACAGAAGACATACATGCAGGCAAAACATTCAAACGAAGTAAAAAACAGAAAAATAATAATAAAAAAGAAAACCAAAAAAAAAAAAAGAAATAAAGAAATAAAGAAAAAAGAGAACGGGTTGATACTTATTATAAAACTTACACCAAGGAGACTTAAAATCCTGTCACCCAAGCCCTCAAAGTGTAAACATCAGCCATTCTTATATTTTGGTTGTAAGCCTAGCCTTTAACGGCTGAGCCATCTCTCTAGCTCAAAATCAGCCATTCTTATAGGATTGTTTAAGGCCTGACCCAAGCTGGATGGCTAAGCCGAAGCTCCTTCTCAGCACTCTCTTCCTCTGGTCCAGGAGCCTGAGCAGAGAGCAACAAACCTGGTTCCCCGGAGAATCACACATTCCTTGCTTTAATGGGGACCAGATGAGCATGTCTATTCCCCTCTGGGATGAAAGACACCCTAGAACTGAACTGGATCTTCTCAGCAAAGCAATTGGTTATAGACTGGAAGCTGATGAAAAGTTAAAAAGAAAAACTGTCTGTGCCTAAGTTGTCAGCGAAGATGACTGATACCTTGTTACAGATGGATGACATCTTGAAGATATTTTGGCTTCCGTTCAGAAGAAGTTGAACACACAGAAAAATAAGTAAGCAAGACAAAGACGCTTCAGAAATGACTGAGTGTTGCTCAGGACTCAGTTCTGTGGCAGGCTCAGCACAATCATTATGAATAGCTAACCTAAGCCTGAGGGGAAGGGGAAAAAAAAAAACGCCCAAGAAGGAAATGGAAATTGCCAAGAAAAATATGTGGGTTGTGTCAGCACAAGTGGGATTTACAATGACTCTTGGCAACGTGAAGAGATTATTCATCTGCAAAACCGGGTCATTTGCATAAACCAGTTATAGTAAACATATCGACTTACACAATTGCATAGAAAATAAGAATATGGCGGAGGGTTGGACATTTCTGAGACGTGACTTTAGGCAAAATCCCGACTGTTTCCGACTGGCCTGTTGAGTCGAAACCAAAACAGCAATATGTTAGCACCCCAGCATACGTCTTTCACTGAGCCATATTTCAACAGGGAAGGAGTACTTGAGATGGGGTCATTCCCAGGCAGTAGGGAAAGTATTAGTAGAAGCCTCCTCCTTGGTATTTTAACCAGTAGGAAAAAAAAAATTTTCCCAAGTCATTTCATCTAATAATATATATTTGAGAGGATTTTTTCTGCCAAGTATTGTATTGGGGGGAGGTCAATAGAACAATGCAATACCATTATTATTATTATTATTAATTATTATTATAGTTAATAAGTAAGAAACAAGTCAGTCACGCGTTTTACCACCAACTTTTGGTTCATAATCTCAAAGTATTGTGAATAATGCAGCAGCTTCCACCCTGGTAAAGCCCAGAACCAGGAACTACTTATTGAACACGTAAGTGGGATTTGACATGCAAAGTCCAACAAGAGGAAGGGAGGGACCATGAGAGGCAACCCCAGTGTGAAACACTGGGGCTCTTCACGCATCAACCAACGGGAATCTCCTGCCCATCAACAACCCTGCTCCTCACCATGTGCAGGCAGGCTCTTGGCTTTTCCATCAGGGGCTCTGCTCCCGTGGGCATCTGTCCGAGGTGGTTTTGTTTCTCCCTTGGTGACATTCAGAAGTGTCTGAGACTCAGTCACATGGAAGTCTGTCAGGAAAATGAGGCGAGGTCAATTCGCTCCCCGATATATTTAACAATCATAGAGTCAGCTACGAAGTCCACGACTGCCTTCATCTACATAATGGCCATTTTGTGGATCTCTCATGAGTGGGATGTGGTGCCTGGAGACTGAAGCCCAAAATTCACCAAGAAATAAAATGATGCAAGGGCGCTGAGGTGGCATCCACAGACAAGTGTCACCAACTCCTACTATTACTATTGCTGAAATAGGTGAGAAACCTCATGTTGATCTCTCTCAGCCACCGTAGCATATCAGTGTAAGAGATGCCTGTTAAATGTGGACAAAGGAAATGGATTTTGCCATGGAGGCTATTCTCTTTCTTAGGAAACTTTTCCCCAGTTTTCCTTTGCAACTGTTAACTGGGAAGAGAAGGGTGGGAATTGTTTTTCTTATTTGTTTGTTTTCTTTTGAGGTGGGCGAGGGGAGGGTGTTTGGTGGGGCATGAAACTTGAATCAGGACACGATTTCCCCAGACCTCGGGAGTTCTCGGACTCTGGAGTCTGCGAGCCGGAGCTGCTGTACCCTTCCATGTCTTGTCTTCGTCGTCGAACCACTCCATCCAGGTCTGAGAATTCATCGTTGAAATCCTGAGGGGAGACGATGACGTGAGGAGACAGGCAGGCCTTTGTAAACCGGAGCCCTCTGGCTTACGCCTGACCCATAAAATATGAAAATGAAGCATGGGTTATACCACACGCTACAGGATTTTCCTAACCTGGGAGTATCTGGTTACGGAAACTGAGATTCTTCAGCATGGTTAGAAGTCTCCTAAGAAACAGCCCACGGCTTGTTTGAAACAAATATCTGGAGAAAAGCACTGGCTGGCTGGTGAGAAATGGCCAGTGGGAACCTGAGAAGTCTCAGCAGTGCTGTGCCCGAAACATCTGACTGCTGCAGACAGCATAAGAGGAGCATAGACATCTCAAATCCATTCAAATATGTGAACAAAAATGTTGCAAATTATAATTAAAAAAACATGACAGTGGGCACAGGAAAGAAAAAAAAATACTGCTGGCCAAACAAACCGAGAAAAAAAAGCTGCAACCTTTTAAATTAGATCCGATCAGGGTTAGCTAAGGTACAGAGGGTAGGAAGAAGATGTGAGAAAAGGTCACAGTTTTAATTTGCATTCCACTGGCTTCCCTGAAGTGCTAAGGCCTAGGGAGACACATAGTGTTCCCAGCTGGCCCTGGCAGAGGCAGAATTAGGCTGAGCTCTTAACTGTTTAGCTGCCAACTGAGAAAAGACTCATCTGGTAAGCAAATGAGCAACTTTTGTGTTTGGGTTTGTGGTCTTTGGGTCATCTCAACATTCCTTACATTCCTTACAGTGATTTATAGGGTGAAAATTTGATTGACTGATTTATACTTAATGGTTTGAGACAGGGTCTCCATCTATCTCAGGCTGGTCTCCAAGTCTCAAGGTAACTGAGGATGACCTTTAACCTTGGACCCTCCTGTCGCGACCTCTACAGGTGTGTGCCACCATGCCCGCTCTGTTTGGTGCTGGGGACAGAACCCATGGCTTCGTGCAGGCTAGGCTAGCATGCTACCAACTGAGCTACAGCCCAGTCTGAATAGTGAAAAACTTTAGTCTTTTCAACTTACTCCTGACTTACTGGATGCTTATCCAGTATGGGGCAGTGTGCGAGCCACCTTACACACACGGATGCGCTGGATCTCCCCGCCCATGTGGTGAGCTCGGCAAGCATTACAGTGGATGAAAGAAGAGGGCCAGAGTGGAAGGAACTTCCCTGAGGATGGACTCCAGCTGGGTGGGCTCAGACTGGAAGCCATGTTTGCTGAAGTCTAAGTCATCGTGTGTATTCATTCTGTACTGCCCACACCTCTCCCCTCCCTGTGCTGTGGATCACTCTGATGGCTTTGTGGGGATGGACAGCCGCCCTCACTTGAGAAGCACCAGTAAATGCAGTCATGTAATATCTAGACTTTGTGGTTTTTGTTTGTCATAATGATTTTAAGGTCCATCTATGTGGCAGCATGTATTAACACTTCAATTCCTTTTTATGAGTGGGCAATATTCCATTGTATACTATATTAAAGACATCCCATTCATTAGTTAAAGGATGTCAGGGTTTTATCCTACTTTGGGGCTATTATGAAAAATACTGCTATAAACATTCCTTTTTGTTTTTGAGACAAGGTTTTGTTATGTATTCCAGCATGGCTTATGTAGCCCAGTCTGGCCTAAAACTCATAGCAATCCTCCTCTCTTAGTCCCCCAAGTTCTGGGATTGCAGGTGCATGCCGCCACACCCAGATAAACTTCCCTGTTCGAATTTTTATGTGAACATGTTTTAATTACACTAGTTTTTCAAAATGCAAAAGAAGATTCATAGATGTTGAAACTTTTTTGTTTTTGTTTTGTTCTGTTTTCTCTGGATAGCTCTGGCTGTTCTGGAACTCATTGTGTAGATCAGGCTGGCCTCAAACTCTGAGATCCACCTGCCTCTGCCTCCTGAGTGCTGAGATTAAAGGCATGGGCCACCACCCAGCTGAAACTATGGGTTTGTATTGCTTGACTCAAGGCAAACAACAATAATCAGTGTGGGGTCAGTGATTTATATGATATTGTTAGACCTGTCTAGGAAAAACAAAATTCTATTATAGGTAGGCATCGTGTATAAATGGGAGATACCACTGGAGGTGTTCACTGTGGTCTACAAAGTCCAAGGGAACCATAATAGCTGTATATCTGCTACCTGAGCATAAGAGCTTTGCCTAGTCATTTCTGAGTTTGCCCATCTTTTCTAAGCTGAAGTCTTGGAAGGTGAGAATTAGTTTTAATTTTCCATGGTTTCTGATAGTGTACACCAGTATAATACCCTGAGTGGACCTTTGTGAGCTGAGCCTGTCTCAAAGAGCTTTGTGGCTCTCTTTAAAGGAGCATTGTGAGGCCGGGTGGTGGTGGTGCATGCCTTTAATCCCAGCATTCAGGAGGCAGAGGTAGGCAGAGCTCTGTGAGTTTGAGGCCAGCCTGGGCTACAGAGCGAGATCCAGGAAAGAAAGGCACAAAGCTACACAGAGAAACCCTGTCTCAAAAAAACCAAAAATAAATAAATAAATAAATAAATAAATAAATAAATAAAAATAAAAATAAAGGAGCATTGTGTCTGGAATGTAGCTTAGTGGAGAGTGCTTGGCTAGCATGCATAAGGGCCCGGGTTTGACTCCTAGCACCACACACAACAAAACTGACAAGCAAGTGAAGCAAGGTCTTATGTACCTCTGGTCTCTCTATCACATTTCTTCTCTGTAGAACAACCTATAGATTACTAGGGAAAAAGTTAGTAGCCTCCTTTGGTTCCTCTGCTTCTGGAGAGGTAAGCTGTCCCCCAACTACACTGGTCATGAGTTCTTCCCAAGCGCTGGCTGAGGTGTGAGCACAGGGTACTGAGGATTGAACCCAGGGCCTCGTGCTTGCTAGGCAAGTGCTCTACCACTGAGCTAAATCCCCAACCCGTGGCTCCATCTTTTGCTCGTGCATTTAGATCATTACTTGGACGGCTTACCAGAGGCAGAGATGAAGGGCGATCTGTCCGGAAACTATTTTCAGCAGAAGATGGGTTGGGACTGTTACCGACACTAGTGTTCTGAAATCACAGGAGGAAAATGAAAATCCAGATCAACTACAGAATTTAGGAAATACCAAAGAAAGGCAGCATAGAATTCTGATGTCATACGCACCTCCAAGTGTCCACACACGGATTTTAGCAGTTTGTATGTTGAATCTCTGGAGAGTAAGGAGACAAATATGTACTGGAAAAAAAAAAAGCACAATCAAGAGTTTAGAGTTAAAAAATTATTTGTCACGTAAGTTTTGTGTTTTCTCATAAATTTTTAAATTACATTTAATGTTGGGTGTATGTGTGCACGGCAAGCACTCACATGCGTGCCATGGTGTCCCTGTGGAAATCAGAGGATAATTCTCCACCATATGAGTCTTGAGGGTTGCACTCAGGTCATCAGGCTTTGTGGTACACACATACCTTTACCAACTGAGCTGTCTTTTTGGCCCCTAGCTTTTATATTTTCAAACAACAAAGATTATCGCTTTAACTATAACCTCATTTTTTAAATCTGAATATTCAATTTTTATTTTATTTCTTGAATAAAACAAGTACAATCCCCCTTGTGTGTGGGTTTGTTTTTTATTTGAGGCAGGGTCTCATGTGGCCCAGGCTGGCATCAAACTCCCTATGCAGCCAAAGATGATCTCGAACTCTTGATAGTTCTGCCTCTACCCACTAAGGACAGATATTAAAGGTATGCACCACCATTCCAGTTTATGTGATGTTGGGGATTGAATCCAGGGTTTCATGCTGTTAGGCAAGCATGTTACCAATGGAGCCACATCTCTGGCTCCTTATATCCCACTTATTACAGTAATAAAATCCCCAAATTCAACTTAAGCACAATAAAAAAAAAGTGGAGCAAAGTGAAGGCTCCCAAAGGATGACATGGGTGTCCCCTAAAAGCACAGAGGGGAGGGCGGGGCACTAAGGCAAGGCTGGTGGTACAGGCTGGGTCCTCCAAAGTCCCCTCCCCTCCCGAGTGTTTGGTTTTTAAAGGTATTTTGTGATTCCTGGAGGGGGCTTGCGTTCTCTGTTCTGACCTAGATTTCTGTAGAAAATGTCCCAGCAGCTCTGACAGGGTTGCCCTTTTTCATGGCATGTCTAGATTCTTCCTTGTACTAATATGGACATTGCTCACCATCCCCTATGCCCCCACCACAGGATGCTTGTGAGTTATGGGGAAAATAAATAAAAATCAAAGCTAGCCAAGCATTTTGGAAACAAATGACATATGGAAAGATTTTACTTCTGTGTAAATGGTACATCTACAAGATTTGAACATCTCCTTGTGTGTGTCATGGGAACTTTTCAGACTGAGTTTGAGTGATCCTTCTCATTGACCACCAAGAGAATGAGGCAACTCCAAGTCAGCATCACTGCATTCCAGAGTAGTGGGCGCTGTGGTCTCCGGCACTGGACAGATTTAGGTGCAAAGTCTAGCTCTGATGTACACTGGCAAAGAGTAAGTGCTTGATAGCTA